TTTTGGGGGTGCATGTGTTCGTCGCCTCGCCGATACTACGTACATTACTGCACATTTTTGACGTTGAATTTCATGCACTATTTCTCGCTCCATGCGTGCAAATTCTCTACGTCCTCCTGTAGTATCTTGACGTCATCTTCATCTTTTATCGTTCTTCAAAGTTAAAGATCGTCTGTAAAGAGCGCTATTTCCGATTTCACTTCCCGTACAGGGTCATTTACATAGATAATGAATAGGAACGACCCAAGAACTGACCCCTGTAGGACTCCACTCGTAATAGGTGACCATTCTGAGCAGTAGCCGCCCGCAGTGACTTTTGTCGCAGTCCGTTTAGGAAATCTTAAATCCAGTTCAGAAGATTTCCTCTTATTCCTACTTCTGACAACTTTTGAATGAGGCGCTTATGTGGGACGCAATCGAAAGCCATGTTGATCTGAGGCGATGTGACAGCGGAAAGCATCGAGTGATGTAATAGATTTTTGAACGAATTTTTCCATCAGTTTTCAACAAATTCATTTCAAACTAACCGGCCGGTAGTTCGTGGGACATAGCCGTGATCCTCCCTTGTGGATAGGTACGGCTTTTGCCAACTTCCATGTGCCAGGTAGTTTACAAGCTTCCAGCGACTTTCGGAAGATTATAGAAAGTGGCTCTGCTAATTTTTCGGCTAACTGATGCAGGAGTACACCTGGGATCTCATCTGGTCCAGGTGACTTGGCTGGATCCAGCTTATTTAGTTCTGCTAAAACTAACTGCGGAATACCATGATAAGCCTCTCTTAATCAGAATACAACAATAGCAAGAATAATCATGGGGCCCTCGGTTAGATCGGCATTGTTATAAAAATGTTTGCTTAAGTCTGCTACTAAAACTCCGAAAGACAGAATAAACCATGATATAAAACCATTCCAGCGACATCTCAAATCCCTCTTAAAGTGAAATGAGAACATCGCCGTCCTAAAGAACTTCATGATGTGCCAAATAAAAGAACTCGGAGGAAGCGCCGATTTAACCGTGACCACAATGCGGAGTGAGGATAAAGCGCAGCTTCTGCCAAGCGCGAAACCAGCATTCCAAAACGTCCCCCAAACAGTTTTTCAGCAAGACTGTACGCCTCTAGAACGGAGGATTGGAGAGAACTCAAAGCAGAACCCCTCTGGAGATCCGGCCTGGACGATATCAATCCTAAAATATTTACGAAAATATTATTCATGTACGAAGGTTATTTCTCTGGAGAAAGCCCACAGCTCTCACATCTTAGGCGCGATTAACACCATTTCGCCTCAGTCTGCACCGGCAGGGTTTTGCATCAAATCCAATGGAATTGGTATGCGATTATCTACCAGAGCTACTAAGGTTAAAGTGACTTTTGTGTACACTTATGTCCAAAATCTCATTTCGGACACTGACCAGCTCATGTCGCTAGTTTTAGAAAGACGCCCGGATGTCGCTGCCATAACAGAAACATTGTTCCAAGCTAAAATCATGGATGCCAAGATTTCGATGGAAGGAGGTCAGTTATCTAGCCGAGACTGTCGGAATAGACTGGTTGGTGGAGTAGTCGTACACGTGAGGTCAGCACTTGCGACAGCTGAACGCACGCACCCTCTGCACCTTGTACATGAATCCATTAGCATAAATATAGATAGGAGTAAGTCACAAAACCTGGGATTCTTGACGGTTTAGAGAAACCAGCAGAATGCAGCAGGCGAGGTAGCTAGTGAAGTGACTAGACAGTAAGAGGTTCCTATTGCTGGGGTTGTAACGTAGCAGTAATAGCCTGGGAAAAGTTAGCCATTGACAGCGCGTTCAGCTGAAAGCTGATAGATCTCACACGCGACCTTCCTCTTGCACGGAATACAAAGTTCCCACGAGGTTTGGATAGACACAGAGGCCAGTTGTCTGGGTCTGGTGCTCACGAAAGATTTCTCTAACATTGATGAAGCGTACTTCAGTGCACCTCTCGAGAAGAGTGGTCACACCACTCTCTTGTGGGATTAACCATTCAATTTTCAGAACCAGCAGATGGTGAAAGGCCAGTGAAGTGTAAGGAAAACAGAGTTCAAAATTATGGGGAATAGGTTTGTGTCCGAAAACTGGGACTGCTCGCTCAAGAGTGATCCAGAGGGAAACTGCAGAATATTAAAAAAAAAACCACTGAATATGATTCAGGGCCTCTGTCTTGTTAATTTATCAAAAACGACCAATCTTCCTGCGTGGTTAACTCCATTATTAGCATAGAGTTAATGAATAAAAGTAGAAAATGGGATAAATTCAGGGAAACTGGCTCACAATGACATTTCAAGAATTTCGTCGTCAGCGATTTGCTGTCAAAATTCCGATCTGCCTGGTACAAGAGGAATATGAATACTTAATCATTCAAAAAAATCGAAGAGAGGCTAGAGATTTTATTTTATTATGTCAAAGGTCGGCTAAACAACAAAGACCAAATGGAAATACTTAGGGATGACAGTGATGTAGAATTCACTGAAAATTGTGCGAAAGCTGAACGCTTGGGCCAATACTTTGGTTCTGTAAGGGAGATAAACTTTCGGTTTCACAAACGCAAAACTACTGTCGCAACCGCCAAACGAGTGCTTGAATCTATTTTCTTCCCAGCGACTTTCGTATGTAGGCTGCAGTCTCAAAGAATCTAAGTCATGGGGCCCGGAAAATATGCCACCGAAGTTCACAGGGAACTTGGAAAACGACTTATTAAAGCCACTGGGCTCAGTTATTGGATTCATACTCTTCTTAGTCTGTATCAGTGACTGTACCGACAATCAGACTGTGGAGAGCCATCAGGTCTGCGCAGGTAGTCACGCACCTAAAGATAGTCTTAACCGATTTAGCGGCTGGCCTGTTCGATGGCTTCAAAATTTTAGAGTTGGTAGGTGTGTGGCCCTAAGACTCCGTACCAGAGGGACCAATGACGAAGATCATTCTTTTTGACACCCTCTTCACGGCAGGCCCCTTCAGATGTTTACAAACAGAAGAACCATTGTGTTCTGATGATCTTCTCACTTAAACCATCGGTGCAATGTTTGAATGTAGCTAAACGAGCGATATAGGCTTTGTTCACGCTGAAGCGAGCGTTTGTAAAAATTGATCGGAAACAGTTCGGCAAGACCTACAAGGCTGTCGTTCGGTCTTACTTAGAGTATGTTACAAGCTTCTGGCATCCGTAGCTCAAGAGTTAATACGGTTATGGACCCACGGTGGAATTAGCCGCCACCGCAAATTCCCATGTCAACAGAGTTCAGAACCGAGCCGAGGAAGCCTCTAATTCATGGGGGTCAAGCTCTCTTCAGAGCCCTCTGATGGGAGGCAATGCCGATCAACCACATTGTGTAACTATTCACGATGCCTCAACAAGATCCGCGGACGAACTTCACAGGGACATAAATACCAAGATGACAGTCCCCTCCTTTTCGCCAGTCCACTTCGATGAGGGCAAAGGACCGGTCAACGACGTCCAAACCGCAGAACACGGAGGAATTCTTAAATAGAATCACTGCATCATAATTCAGGTCCTCCTGGAGTCCTCCGCCAGTACCCCCAGGGAACGAGTCGCTGCTGACTTAGAGCAATTCCAGAAACTCCTAAATGAAATGTTGCAACAAACAGAAGATGTCACAGTCCTAAAGGCGTTTCGTCTTGGTAGCCGTACAATCGCCGCTCCACAGGCACGACCAAGACCCCTGAAAATTGTCCTAGGTAGCAATGAGCAGGCGAAACTAATCCTTCCCAGACGTTTTCGATTAAAGCATTCCCATAAAGGAGTGTTTTTTCAACCGGACTACTCACCTGCCGAGAGAATGAAACGCCGCGAACTTGTCCTAGAATTGGGAACACGACAAACCAACGGAGAAAAAGACTTGACAATCTACAACGACCGAATAGTCAAGCGATATTCCGCCCCCCTCTGGATCAAGCCGATCCGAATGACCGCACAGATACCACGGTAGCCTGTGTCGGGATTGATAAAAATCACTCATGTACTCGAAACTCATATTCGTGTATACCAACGCGCAAAGTGTACTTTCTAAATTGGATGAACTTCGTATCCTTACCCATGACCTCCACCCAGACGTTATCTCAATAACAGAAACATGGCTGTCCGAACAGATTGATGATAGAGAACTCATGCTCCCTGGATTTCAACTGCTCCGCAGAGACAGACAAAACAGGAGGGGTGGAGGCATAGTAACATTTGTTAAGAACGGCTTATATGTTTTAGAAAAAACTGTCCAATTGACTTGTAGTGCGAAAGCGTTGTGGCTGACCATAAGGGCACCGGGCTCTCAAAGCCACGATATCTTGACAGTATATCGCCTCCGAGAAATGACCCTGACGCTGATGCCCAATTGCTGGAGAAGCTTAGGCTATTTTCAACCTGACCGACTACTCTCATCGTTGGAGATTTTAATGCACCTCGCATAAACTGGAGCTCGGCCTCAGCCGACTGCTCTGAAGCAGCATTCGACCAGCAGTTACTTCGTACCTCCGACAATCTGCTTTTAACCCAACACGTAATGTTTCCAACGAGAGTTCGCGAGGGCCAACAAATGAATTGCCTTGATCTAGTGTTCCCCAAGCCCTCTGACAATATCGACGTTGTGAATTGCCTCCCCCCGTTGGGTCAGTGTGACCATGTAGTTCTCATGTGGAAATACACCTTATTCTCCCTTATTCAACCGCTCGCTTCCTGACCGAATATTTGGCGCAGAGATTTCGAACAGATGAGAAGGGATCTTAGTCCTATCGGCTGGGCATCCACTCTATCCGGCGATGTCGAAGAGATTTGGGGTCAGTTCAAAGAGTTATTCCACAACCTCATCTACAACCATTGCCCAGTCATGCGCAGAAGACTAACAAATAGAGCCCGCTGGCTGACTCCGTCCTTAAAGAAGGAAGTTAACAAGAAGAGGAAGCTGTGGAAAAGATCCTTGACTGACCGGACGCCAGAATCCCTAAGCAGTTATAGGTTACAGCGAAATATGGTCAAAATTCTCATCGCCAAAGATCGGAAAGCCTTTGAAAAGGATCTTCTGAACCGTGCCAGGGTTAATCCTAAAGTCCTCTACATCTACATAAGACAGAGCACGCGGAACAAAGACCCCATCCCACTGCTGCGAACAGCCGAGGGAATGGAAATCTCCGATGACATGGATAAGGCCGAGCACCTCTCTCAGTTCTTCCGGTCCGTCGTGACAAGTGAACCAGATTTTTTATCCTCCATTTGTGAATACAAAGAAACGCCTACCCTTGAAGCCGTATTCTTCACCGAAGCAATTGTTCAGACTGAGTTACTTAATCTGAAAGAATCGACCTCCCCAGGCCCTGATGCAATCCCCGCCAAGCTGCTGAAGGAGTTAGCTCCCGAAATGTCCAAGCCATTAGCCTTGAGCTTCCAAACGTCATTTCATACTGGATGCCTGTCCTCTGATTGGAAGTCCGCTACCATCACTCCGCTTTTTAAGAGCGGAAATCGTGCGTCTGCGAATAACTACAGGCCAGTGAGTCTTACGTCCATCTGTTGTAAAATCATGGAGAAGATCATTAAGAAGGCCTTGATGCGGTTTCTCGAGCAGCACCACCTCCTCTCTGATGCACAACACGGCTTTCAAAGTGGTCGGTCCTGCCTCACGAATCTGCTCTTTACCCTTGAACGCTGGACCAAAGCACGCGATGAAGGCAATGTGGTGCACGCCATCTACATCGACTTCAAAGAGGCCTTCGACAGCGTTCCCCACCAACGTCTCTTGCACAAACTGCGCAACGCCGGAATTCGTGGACGCCTTCTTGTATGGATCCAGAGCTTTTTTGGCTGGACGGTCCCAAAGAGTGCAGGTCGGGCGTCAGCAGTCCTCAAAATTAAGCGTGGTGAGTGGCGTCCCACAGGGCTCAGTCTTAGGTCCCACGTTATTCCTCGTTTTCATAAATGACTGCGTCAAGGACTTAGACTGTGATGCCATCCTGTTTGCCGACGACATTAAATTGTGAAAAGTTATTCACAAAGCGGCAGACGCAGACCACCTGCAAGAAACCTGAACAGGCTCGAAGACTGGTCAAGGCGCTGGCTTATGCCCTTCAATATAAGCAAGTTCAACTTTCTTCAACTAGGCAGCTTCAGAGCCTCCAGCCTTAGGACTTACTTTCTAGACGGCACACCACTGCAACAGGTTGACAGTCAGAAGGACTTGGGTGTATGGATTACATCTTCACTCAAACCAACACTGCACTGCGCGAAGGCGGCTAAATCGGCTATGGCTACACTGCAACTCATTAAGCGAGCATTTATGGGATTTGACCCAGACAGCTTTTCAAAAATATTTGGCACCTACGTGAGGCCTCATCTAGAATACGCCATACAGGCGTGGAGATCTTGGACTGTCAAGGACTATACCGTTTTGGAGAAGGTCCAGAGACGGGCGACCAAAATGACACAAGGTCTGGGAGCGCTGTCTTACGAATCCCGACTGTCAACTCTCAACTTGTTTCCACTTGTCTACAGGCAATGACGTGGTGACCTTATACTTGCATTTCGCATTATCAACGGTCTAGACTGTTGTTTAGATCCCACTGATTATTTCACATAAGCTAACGCGCAAATTTGCGCGGTCATCCCCTAAAATTACGCGCCGGGAAAGCAAGGGTCAATGAAAGAAAGTTCTTTTTCAGTCGCAGAGTGGTTGCAGCGTGGAATGCCCTGCCCACCGATGTTGCAACCTCCTCCTGTGTGAATTCCTTTATGTTTAGACTTGACGCGCATCAAGCCTTCCAGTTACCAGCCTTACATCCACTCAGACAACCCGGCACCAACTTAAACTTGTTTATACTACTTGTAACTAGTTAGTAACCGTTATTGATTACACTTTTTTACTAGCTATCAGCGATTATGTACAAAACCCCTTTTTTCACCTTCCCACTATCAATGTTTTTCTCCGACGACTTGTAACCGATAGGGAGTTCAAAGGCGCTCGCCTATATTTCCCTTAATAAACTGAAACTGCTGAAACGAGTGCAGGTGATGACCATGAAAATGCTAAATAATCATGGCAATCAGTTATTCAACATTAAACTGACTGAATTTCATTTTTTCCGCTCAATTACAGGCAGCTATGGGATGACCTCATTCATACCTTGCAGCTTGTTGGGGCCGTATGTTCTATAACTTCTTTGAATTTGCTGGCACGTACCATCTGCGTGATAACACCTTTTTACTGTAGAGGAACTGGGTCTCTTACGACTGCCCAATGAACTTGTTGGAAACTGGAACTGACTCCTTGCTTTGGCGGTACTTTCAGACACTGTTGAGACGTTTAAATGCGGACTTGACACTCATGTCTTGAGAACCTATTTTAGATGATTTAATAGACGGGCTAATTCACGAGCTGCTAACCGAAAATCTGAAGTGCATTTCCGACTCGGAAAATTGCATAAGTAGGGCTGCGATATTAGCCATCATGTAGCATAATTCCATAACAACTCAGCTACTTCAGGATGTTGGCTTTTGAACGAACTTCTTTTCGGCCGCCTTTAAAAACTAAATTCCGTTAAAATGACTGTTTAAATAGTATGGTTTTTTCTCAATGATTTTCGATGACCTTATGGATTCAGATATATTTCATAAAAAAACATGCATAAAAAATATTTGCTCTTTGACTCATTTGGTAGAAAATTACATCTTCTTTTAATTTTTTATTTTAAAAACGCGTATAATTTATTTTTTAAAATGTTTCTATTTATATGATTTTTTCAAACCGTGAAATGCTCGGCCATAAAGCATCCTGCTTCCGCAATTACTAATGCTGCTTGTAAAGTTTACAATATGCTTGAAACCCACTGCTGAATTTTATAAATCCCATATAGTTTCCCCTTAGATCATGTAGAAATATATAATTGTTCCTACACGGAAAATATGCAGCTTGATATTCGTAAGCCCTTAATGTAAGTGTAACGGCAGGTCGGGCTCAAAATTATTCGGGAATCGGAAAGGTTTTTAAAAACTGAATATTACGCTAACTTAAGGTATAAAGTTGGAAGTTGATGTATTTTCCTGCCAAGGGAGTAAAAGGGTAAATATTTTTATGCATGATTTCTAGAAAATATGTTTAAATTTGAAACTGCACCTAAAATAGATGATGGGAGTTTAGACCATTTAAGTAGTCATTTTTTGCAGAATGTAGTATTTGTGTGCGGCCGAAAAGAAGTTTGTTCAAATAATGGCATTTTGCGACAAAGTACCAGATCCGAGCCAATTTCATCTGGAATCCACAAGTGCGTCTGCCTTCCGAAAAGACAAGCTCACTATACTTTTTGAAGAGACAATCTGACAACGACGAATTCCTCAACAATTCAAAGGCGTGACAATCGTCCAGCTCTACAATGGAAAGGGGCGATGAAAATTCCATGAAAGTCGCAGGACAGTTTTCATTCTCGGTATCCCAAGTAAAACCTCCGTCAGCATGCCCCTCAACCGCCTGGATAAAAACGTCTCCCTGAGAGATAATACGGATTCCGATGGCACCGCGAAACCACCGACATGATCGTCGCCACCCGCCATTTCCGTAAAAGTTCTGACTGAGTTCGCAGACCATATGATCTTCCAGCTCTCTAAGATATTAAAAAATCCAATGAAGGCGGAGGCCGTACCTGCTGATTAGAGGCTTACCAACATAAACCCCAAGCATAAAGGTATGGAAGAACCTCACCAAAGAGTTCTAGATCAGTGAGTCTCACAAGCATCTGTTTTAAACTAATGGTGAAACCGGAACAAATGAGATATATTGAAAACAAAAATTGGTAACAATCGGGAGATGGCACACAAAAAATCCGATACCTAGAAATAATAACTTTAACAGGGGACTCAAACGCCTTCAGGCTATATCAGCGGTTGCAGGCCTACTTTCACGCAATACTTCGACTTTCCCCGACGGCCTTACATGGGCTGGCCGAACAAACATCGCAGGAGGTTACATGGACGATGGTCGCTGTTACCCAACCTTTCCCGTCCTTACTCACGTTCTCCTGAATATACGGCATACATTCCCATTATGGCAGTTTATTACAAAACAAAATAACTATTAAATAGGATAAGTCAGCACAATATGGGACAGGATCAGTTCCCAGGCATCTGTCAAAGACATGGCATTGAGGCCAAACCAAAGACGATACTGTACTTCGTCTATGTTAGCCCACACAGCTCGACCACACACAAGACCTCCCTCGTGGAGTTTCCTTTTCAGTCTACTCCAGTATGCCTCAATGGCATTGGTGTATCTTAGATCCCGACCAGCCACCACCCATACAACCCCTATTATCAACTGTCCCGTAAGACAGGCTGCTTTGGTTAGGCGGATTTTTTGGGTGCCATCTTCCGATTGTTACCCAAAAATTTGCCCAGTACGTATCAACACGGATTTAGAATCGGATCGATCTTGTCTCATCAACCTGCTCACATCAATAGAATGCTGGATGAAATCTTTAGAAATGTGTTTTCCAGTTGATGCGGTACATATTGACTTCAGGAAAGTCTTTGATGGGGTTCTACACTGACGGCTGATATCTAAACTGTGTCAAACGGGTGTGGCTGGCAACCTACTCGAAAGGACGACCGACATTTTCACAGGCAGACGACAGTGGATTTGTATTGATGACGCCAAATCTGAGTGGGAAACCGTTCACAGCACGGTTCCGCATGGGAGCGTCCTGGGTCCCATTTTGTTTTTGATATGTCTGAACGATTAGATCGCAGTTGGCAGCCAGGAAGGGGGAGGCGGACGGCATGATTCCTGTCGCACGGGAATGATGGAAAGGGGGTTATATGGGTGGGGTAAATGGAAGGGCTGGTGGAGGAATGCTGGAGTTTCTGGGTAAAACTAAATATACCTAAATCTTAACCCTAACACTGAAACCTGACCCTTAAACGCAAACCCTAATCCTAAAACTTAAATTACGCCTAACCCTTACCCTCACTAAACCCAACAGCCTGACCGAAACGGGCGACCTGCCTAACTCAGTAAGAGCACGCCTACTGATAACAAGTACGTACGTCGACAGTATCAACGTATCATGTCTGGCTACCAACTGCGATCTTACCGTTTGAACGATCCGCGGGAAGTAACGTTCGCTGGCGATCAGAGGAAATGAAATTCGATAAAAAGATCAGAAGATACGCCGAACTTGCAAAGTAACTTAAACTGAGTTCAGCAGTGGTGTGATGGATGGCTCCCTAACCTCAATTTCAACAAATGTCAAATCATTCGACCACGACCGCGTTACAGAAACATGATGAGATTTGAATAACAGTGTTTCATCGGAGATCATCAACCCGAGCCAGCAAATGAGTTAAGGGGCCTAGGTCTGTGGATGACGTCCGCTCTCAAGCTTTCGATTTATTGCGCCAAAATAGCAAAGAAGGCTATGTGTACCCTGAAACTGCTTAGAAGATGCCTCCTCAACTTTGACGGAGAGCTTCTTTATTCGAGGGCTCGGAATATTTATCCGACTGATGTTTAAATACTGCGTCCAGGCGTGGCGCCACTGGATGAGACAAGGCTAAACACTTATGAAAAATGTCCAGCAGAGGGCGACCAAATTATTTAGCTAAGTGATGTACCTGCCTTATGAGGGACGACAAGTAAAGCATAGAATTTTCCACTGTTCTCCATAACACCTCCAGTTTTTAAAAGTCTGACCTCTTACCTCTACTCCCTCGTGCCTAACGCCAGTTTCTTCGGTGGCTGCGCTGTTCTGTGGCTTTTACGAACGGCGGGTGGTGTCGGTCGGTGGAGTCGGAATGCCAAAATTATCACACAGCAGATCGAGTGCCTCTTGGCCGTCTGTGGTAAATTTATGTCTGAGCTGGTTCGTACGCTTTTTGATTTTTTTAGCCGCTGTCACTACACCGAACACAATGACTCTGGAATTCCGTATTATGCCC